TAAATTGTCTGGAAATTAGAAGGTGATCAATTATAATCATACATACAAATTCTTTGAGATTGAATGCTACGCTAATACATATTAATTACAGTGTTCACAATAACCTCAGATTCAGATGACAAAAAATTGTGAGATAAAATGGCCAGTTTAAGAAGCTGGCTGTGTACTTCAGTAGCAGAGTGCTTGACTAGCTTGCACACCTTGATTTACGGCCTTGATTTCTAGTCCCTGACCCTATGTCATCCTTGAAGAAAATGAAGACAGCAAAACACTATGTCCCTGAAATGTCTTTCCATTCTCAAGAACTTATCCAAGTCAAGGGAAAAATGGGACGGGACTTGTACAGAGTAAGTGTCATCTTGGATACTGGATACATATCATCTTGAGGGACACAGACTTACCCTCATGAGTGCTAGGACTTGGGACTGGTTTGCTGGTTCCCTGTGGTAACTGATTTGGAGTGTCTCTCTGTAGAGAGGATAATGGCTCCTCCTGCTGGTCTCCAGTGGACAGAGTGCCATGGGGCCAGGGGTGAAGTGCTGTAGCCACTGGGAGGGAAGAAGAGCTACTTGTTCGGCCCATCACACTAGACCTTTCCCAGAAGCATTTCCCAATAAACCTATCTCTCACATGCCAGCTCCAGGTCTCTCAGCAAATTATCTCCCTGTCCTGGCATAACTGGACTCTGTTGAGTAAAGTGTGCACGCACACGCACCATGACCAAGTGGGGCCTTATCCCAGAGGTACAAGGTTGACACACATATGCCAATTAACAAAGGTCAGCCCCCACATGATGGAATTAAGGACAAGAATCGTATGATCCTCTCAACAGATGCATAGAAGGCCTCTGATGCAATCCATGCCCATTCATGTTAAAAGCCCTCAAGAAACCAGGGATAGAAGATGCTGCAGTCTGGCTGGGCACAAATAACCGGGAGGTCATGAGCCACTTGTAGGTTCAAACAGGAACTACTTTATTGCCCAAACCCAAGAGGAACTCCACTCAAACTCAACTGAAACTCTGCGAGAACTCAAAAGTAGCGGGCACCCGAGGTAGCAGGAGCCGTCTTATTGCAGGACAGCAGAGGTTTATATACACAATTGAATACACAGCTTGTTTCAATTTAGCATCATCCAGTTACAGCAATCAGTCATTATCTTAATAATTATACACAGTTCAATTAATTATCATCATCTTAATGGCTCCCTGGCTTTACTTCTCAACCATACCTTCTGGCAAAATGCCAGGTGCCATCTTGACTTGGTTGTGGCTCTCAACAAGAAGAAGGTTAACTCAACATCATAAAAGATAAACATAACAAAACCAAAGCCAATGTCCTGTTGAACAGACAAAAACTGAAGACATTTTCTCTAAAATTAGTAAAAAGATAAGAATGTTCTCTCTCACCCAACCTTTCATATAAAGAACAATGAAAGTACATTCCTATCTCTCACTCTTCCCACAAGTCAAAACAAAGTGGATCAAAGAACTAGGACTTAGACCCGGAAACTTTGCAACTGTTAGGAAAAAAACATAGGGTCAATAATCCATCATATTGATGCAGGCACAATATTCCTTAACAAGACCTTAAATGTGCAAAAAATACACCCAAGAATCAGTAAGAGGGACAAAATCAAATCAAAAGCCTTCTGCACAGCAAAGAAAATAGTAAAGAGCA